GGGGGGGGGGGGGGGGGGGGCATGTGCAGGCTGTCCTCACCCCCAGGAGCTAAGCACCCCTGTTTGGAGCTGGAAATGATACAGCAACTCTTCCCCTTCCCCAGACATGTCCTTTTGCCTGGCAGAGGGGACCCTGGGGTGAAGGCAGGATGGTCCAGGAGTCACCCAGCATGGATCAAAGCAGCACAAGGCTACCCTAGATAGCACCACCAAAAGAGCTAAGGGGTCAGGACCCCCTGAGCAGGTCTTTTCCTAAAACAGCCCTCTCACCCCTCTCTGGGGCTGCACAGGATCCACTGCCTCAGGCAAAAGACATCCTCACTCCGGGCAGACCAGCCTGGGGCTGGGTGCCAGAGCCAGCAGGATGCCCAAGCCTCAGCCTGGAGCCTGCCAGGCACAAAGGCTGGCTGGGGAGGGGTAATTAATTGCCCAGGAGGGAGGGCGACAGGCTGTCCCCCCACCAAGCCCTGCTAATCAAAGGCTCCGGGTTTCCCAGCACTTCCCAGCCAGCCCCACAATGACATCACTCTTTCCAAGCAGCACAGCCGCTGCTGACCTTGAAAACCAACAACCACAAGGGAAGGGGGGAGGCCCAGGGAGCAGCCTGCTCCTGGTCCCTCCTACATCCCAGCAGCAGCTGGGCTGTGTGGAGAGAAGCAAGCTGAGCTGGAGGCACAGAAACAGGGTCGGCCGAGCCTAGAAGAGAATAACCCCAGGTTGGTGGCCTGCTGAGGGCCACATTCAGGTGATACCCTCCGGACTGGCTTACTCAGCACCAGTGACCTCGAGCCCTGCAACCCGCCTGGGCAGTCATACCTCTGCGTGCGTGTAGGCAGCCTCAGCATCCCGCTGCAGCGAGCTCTCAATGTCAGCAAGGCTGTTGGTGATGAGGCTGGAGCAGTTCTCCCTGTCCCTGTGGTGGGGATCCTGCAGACCCTCTGCTATATTGGCTCCTGTCTGATAGCCCTTCTGAGTAAAGTTCCTGGACATGCCCTAGAAAAGGAAGAGAGAAGACTTTAGCCCACAAAGACATGGGATGCTCTACAGCCCCAAACCACAGCCCAGGAGCCAGCAAGATCAATGCTCCCTCCCATCCTGGGCTTCTCTGTGGAGCTGTGCACTTCAGCTGCTAAGAAGGTGCCCCTGAACCCAGTGGGATCCAGAAACTCCATCCCTGGTGTGCACATCCCAGATGCACTCTTTGGCATGGGGCCCCATAGAGAGGGAGAGTGGCGATGAGGTTCTTCAACACCCATCTTCAGCTACACTCACTGGCTCATAGAAGGAAGAGGAAAAGACAAGCTAAAATATCTGAAGTTACAGCCTCGCGTCACTTGCCTATAGCATCAAGTCCATCTCTCATTTATTAATCCCATTGGCCTCTGCCTGCCTGACCACCAAGGCAAGTACTTGAGGTCGGCATCCCACTTGTCTGATTTCTGTTCTGGTCCCGCCCTGCTGCCCAACCACGTAGCACCTTACACTCAGGGACTGCTCCTCTCCACCACCCTCTGCTCCTGCAGAAGAGAGCCAGTGACCCTCAGAGAGCTATTGCAGACCAGGAGGGAGCTGAGGCTGTCTACGGCTCGTCAGACAGCCCAGGGCAGGCAAACCCCTTTGCCCTTCTCAGTCTCCCAACTGTAGGCACGGTTGGGCAATGTAGGCAATGTCTCCAAGGGGTTGTTGCAGTCTCTACTCATCAGTCCTTGATCTTTCACATCTTAAATGGCAACTGCTTTGAATAGATGACACATCAATCAGAGACTGGGGGCTGTTCCCCCATTCCTTCATTTTCAATCTGTCCTGCCATTAATTTCTCCTAAAACCCAGCATGACCTCCATCTGTGACCTCAAAATTGCCAGCTGATGCAACAGCTGCAGCTAAAGACAAAGCAGAGAAGCTGCCTTGCTAGAGAAGACACTAGCTGTGTGGACCAAGTATCTGGGGGTTCATTCCCTTGACCAACACCATTTGTGTAAAATACCTTGTTATATTGGAAACAATTTGTGATAACCTTCTTGATACCACCCTGTGCTCAATTACCACCACCACCCCCAGCCCCCTTCATGGGCATCTGAATGCCCAGTCTTTACCCAGGAATCATGAGTCACAGATTTATCATGCAATTTTGATGCTGAATCCAATAATGCAAGGACTTTTCAACAAACATTTTGTTGCAGTAAGAAAAGGAACAGGGGATCTCATGATGCTCTTGTAGGAGTAGTGCAGCAGCAGAAGAAGCCTGGACACTGTCCTCCTTTTGGGAGAATAACTGATTCTGAAAGCCTTGTGCCCTTATCACTGTTCTGTGGAATGTCTGTTTATGACATGTTTAGGGATAAAATCTGCCTCCCCTTGAGTGGGGAAGCACCACCGAAGCCTGGCCTGGGATGCTGCTTGAGGCCACTCAGCTGCTTCACTGAGGAGCAGCTGCCAAAAGCACACCCGCCTGGGAGGCCGATGCTTTGAAGCTATGCCAGGCTCTTGTTCAGCATCTCAGCTGTCCGTTGTATCAGATCCCGTGGCCAATGCAGGGTGTGATCCTCCTCCTCCTCTCAACGGGAATTTATGTGTTAAGCCAGCAGCAGGAAGCATTTCACACCTGCTGCCTACGCTGCCTGCACCAGCTCTGCCCTGCCCAGGCAGTACTGGGGAATCTCCACCTAACTCAAATCTCTTCTTGTCCCTCTCCATTCTGTCTGAGTGCCTGCAGGCAGCTTCAGCTGCTTGTTACATGATCTTACAGCCCCACTTCTGGGAAATTAAACCCAAATCTGTGAATTCCTCCCTCCTACACCTTCACTGCTCCTTCTCTGGCCAAACTACTTCAGCCAGACCAGATTACTTCTGCCCATCTGTCTCACTGCGACAGGCTGTGAGCAGAGCAGCCACGCTGCAAGGTCACCCCAACATGCCCAGACAGAGAAGTGCCATCAGCACCACTCGCACTGGAACCCTGTGCAGGAACGGGCTGAGAGACAGGGCCACTTTGGTACCATAGAAGAGTGCAGTGGGACCCACACATGAAGTAATCACTTGTGTCATTGGTCAGTACCCAAACTCCTAATGCTTACCTTACCTCAGCCTCTGACTTGACCATCAGCAAGGTCTTTGAGGAACCTGCACTCCCCCCTCACTGGCCTGATGGGCTGTTTCACTGGCCACACCCCTTTAAAGGTGACAATATCTAACAACACCACCCAGTCAACTAGTCTGAGGGTGAGACAAATTCATGGACCATAGATGATACCAAAAAAAGGCTTGTCCCCTCCATCATCCCTGATGCAGGTGAATGTGAATGTTAAGTAGCAATAAACCATCAGTCTGTCCTGGTGGGGCCCTTTATGCTCACTGTAGCTTCCCCTACTCTGGGCAAGCCCAGCTCACCATGCTGTGGGACAGGGCTCACCCCACCACCAGACCTATGGCTAACAGTGCTGCGGCAGCGAAGGTCCCCAAGGGGGACGCGCAGCATAGGGCTGGTGGCACAGCTCCCGCTTCCCTCACTCTTTCCCCCTAATTAGCAGAGACCCAGCAGCAAACCCAAGTAAGAACTACACTAAACCACAGGAAGCGGGTGGGACTGCAAACAAAAACATTAGTTCTTTGTTATTTTTAGATCTCAAAACCCCCTTTTCCCCTTTTGGGTCAATCACCATGCTTGGAAACCCAGAGCTGCCCAGGCAAGGGTGGTCCTCTCAGCTGTCTCCTTCCTGACCCTGGGATGGAGCACGCCTTGCCTTCCCAAAACACTTTGCAAGTGGAATTTTTGCTTTATAAATCATTGCCTCTCAGCTCCTGGCTGCAGACAAACAGAACTGCTCCACTCCGACAAGAATGTGGAATTACTGTCCCAGATATGGACCACGGGAGAAAACTCCAGTATTTAATCTGGCAACCTGTTGCTACATAGCTTGAGCACAGTTTAACAATCTGCAAACCCTATGCTGTGCTGGCCAAAGAAATATTAAACAGTATAGATGTAAAAATTATTTCACGGGAAGTCTGCTCTAAAAAAACGGAATCTAAAAAAACAGAAGGTACTCCATCTTTTTAGCAGTGTTGAGGGTTCAGCTCTTTTTTAATACAGCCAAGATGTAACTTGGTCCTTAAAGAATCTGACCTCCTCGGCTACCAGCAGTTCTGGTGAGTGTACCTCAGCACCAGTCCCGAACCTCTCACCCCCACATCAGACAGCACAAAAGCACCCTATTGAGAGCAAGTATCACACCAACACAGATGTAAAACTGAGAGAGGAAAAACTTAACAGCATGCCCTTCTGACTCCAAGGAGATCTTGGTCCTGGTGAGGCCACAGCTGAGATCTCACACCCAGTTTGGGCCACAAGGGATGGGGGGAACTGGAGAGGATCAGGAGAGGCTGACAGGGTGGTGCTGTGCTGGGCATGGCCCATGAGAAACAGTACAGTCTAGTTTGGACAGTCTAGTCCAGTCTAGTTTAGTTTCAGTCAAATAGTTAATTAACATTTCTTACAAAAGGAACATGGCTCTGAATGCACCAATGGTACCAAGAACTTGATCTGAGGCAAGTCCCACTGAAGGAAACAACTCTGAAGGAGAGCAGGACGCCTCTTACCTCCTCAAGCTTTTCCACCCGACCCACCAGCTTGGTTGTGACTGAGTGCAGCTTCAGAAGGTCTAAGCCATAAAAGGCACTTTCCAGCATCTCAACGATGGAGGACAGCTGCAAGGCAAAGGAAGCACACCGTCAGTCAGAGGCACTGGCTATGAAGTACCCTGTGTTGTTTCTACAGCCAAAAGTCAAGGGCAGTGCATGCATCTGAGTGCAAGAAGCAGGTTTAAAAAAAAAATACAGGGTTTTCCTTACACAGCCCTCTTGCTTTGCTGCCATGGTCAGAGCACAGCATGCAGAGCAATGCACACCATCTCCACAGAGCTTCAGGAGCATGTTGTGAGTGCTAGGGATTAGTAAACAGAGCAAGGAGAAGCACTGCCCTCCTTGCCAGCTCTAGGCAGGCTCTCTCACAAGCCCAGAGGCTTAGCTACTCCACCAGTGATGTGACTGGCAGGAAAAGAGGCAACAAGAGAACAGCAGCTCAAATAAAAGTGAGTTTTAGATTGGACTCTGAGTTCGTGCCATCCTGTGCTTTTTTTCCTGGAACAAGAAGAAACTTGTTAAAAAATTTTTAAATGTTCACAAACACAAGAGTGAAGTCACTGAAATTCAGTGCCAACCTACTAACAGTTTCTTCCCTGAAGAACAACTTTATCAGAGGGATGCTGCCTTCTCCTTCAACCACCTATTACAGAGACACCCTACATTTAACTCACCCCCTTCCCGCAGCAGGAAGGGTTGTGTCCCTGTGTCCTGCCCAGCGTCAGCCCTTGCTCACCGATCCTGAGGATCCAGACAGACTACCCTTGGTCTGCATTTTGTAGGGTTCCTGGCACTCGCTCCACAGACGACAGTGCCAAGCAAGGCACGAGTTGGTGAGAAGGGTTCCTGGGCCATTCCCTGCCTCGGCTCCCACATGCACCTGCTCCCTCCAGTCCCACATGTCCAGCATGGCACTGCAGACTTTACAGCCCTGATGACTGAGAAGTATTTTCAATGCATGGGAATTACTACATGGAGATGACATTTTCTCCCAGCAGCTACGAACTGGTCAACAGAGCTCCATAAACATGGGAGAAGTACAAGCAGCACTGCTGGCAGCACTCTGAGTTTCCACCCCAGCCTCTGCAGTCTCCCTGTGGAGCTAACAGCAAAGGAAAGATTTTTCTGGGCCAGTTAAAATGGGAGCATGCAGAGACAACGACTGTTTTATGGCTATGCATCCACGTTCCACCAAGAACTGGACGGAGACGACTGATACAATGCAATGCAACCTGCCAGACAGCCACTGGAGACATGCGCTTTCCCTCCAGGCTGGATAATTTCCATCAGTGCACAAAGGTTGCAGACTTTATTAACCACCATCCAAATCTCCCTGAACAGACTCCTTACATGGACTCTACACCCGAGCCCCCAAAACACACACTGTGCCTACAAGCAGAGGAGCAGCATGCTGTGATTTCGTAAGAATAGATCTTAGACTTAGCTGCCCCCTGCCAGCACCAAGTTGACCCTCTCTGAAAGATCATACTGATGCACACGCCAACTTGCTGTTTCCTTCCCTTCACCCACTGCAGACTCTGATGGTCCATGAATTTCCATGGGATGTTACTAAAAGCACAGAGACGAATGAACCCTTCAGACGGGATGCCCAGCTCAGCCATTTGACTGAGCTGGGGAGCCCCAGGGGTACATTCCTGTTGCCTGGGCTTATCTACTCCCTTCCTCACTGTTCCCTCAGGGACACATCCTCCAGCCTACCCATCGTAAGGGAGGGCTCTCATTTTGGAGAACTTCCCACAGCTGTCCCACATGTGGAGTACCCAGGGCTTTTGGGTCAGAGCATAAGAAAGCCTGGTAAAACAGAACAGCAATAGGAGCACGACTCTGTGTGCTTCCCGCTGCTCGTCAGACCAGTGGCCCGGGCAAGAACGCTGCTCGTCAGACCAGTGAGAAGAGTAAAACCCCTGGGGCTGTTAGGAGCAGGGAGGTGGCCTGGCCCAGCCCTCCCGGACCCCACCGATGAGCATGGGAGCTGCAGGAGTCATGTAAGAACTGGAACTGTGTCCTGTCCTGCTTCCCAGCTTCTCCTACAAGAGGTGGTTGTTCCCAGCAAGACCGACCCCAGGAGGGGCTCCGTGTTCGGTGAGAAAGCAAGCCTCTTTTCACAGCTCCTGGGGTTTGACTTTCACAGCAAAGAAAAAGCCCACGTGCATGTATTTGGATAAACCTTGTGAAATCGTTTGGCTGCAGATCCTTGTGAAATGAGCGGGGGAGCCTGGGCCAGTTCCTAGAGGACAAGCTTTCACACCACAGCTGGCTGTGAGCAGCTCCCCGGTGGGAAGAGGCAGCCGGAGCCAAGAGGAGCCAAGGCACAGCTAGGCACACTGCTCTGCTCCCCCCGGAGGCTGCCCGGCTCGGGAGGGGACAGTAAGAGAGGTGTGAGCTGCGGGTGGAGGAGCTCTGCAAGCCTCCCAGCAAGGGGCTACGGGGGTGGCTCTGTCACCTCAGAGGGTGTCCCCTCCCCTAACCGCAGAGACCTCACAGCTCCTCATGTAAGGCCAAGCGGGACATCCTGGTTTCTCCTGCAGACAAGGGACCACCAAACAACTCCAGACTGGGATTCCTCCTTCCCCGAAATGATGGATTGTCTGCCTGTGCCTGTTTATCTTTCCTAGCTGCAGGGGAGCTTGGACAAGAAGCTGCTAACTGTCTGCAGTCGGACAAGATGAAACACATCCTTGAGCTCCAAATTAATTAGAACAAAACCACCGCGGTGGCCCCAGCGGCAGGCTGCCCCGCGGCACCCTGCACACCGCCTGCCTTCCCACCTGAGCTGGGACTAGCAGCTCTGCCCCAGGGTACGTCCCATCACCACCCACATGAGTGCCATCAGCACTCAGCCTTCTACTCTGGGGACTCCCCAGGGCTGGACCAAGCCAGAGGCCCTCTGGGAAGGATTTCTGCTGCACTACAGAGGTAACAAATAAGAAAACTCAGAAGGATCTGCTACCAGTTGCTAGACCAGAAGGAAGCATCCGGCAAAAGTCAAGAGTACTTCAAACAAACACTTAAATTTGGAAGAGAGGTACATATTACTAAAGAGAGAAAATACTAAATAGCATAGAAGCGTCAGCATTTATAACAACAAAACTCATCCTGCCATCGGCCAGCTGTGTAACACACCCTCACACTGACGCATCAACAGCTTTCAGCCCATGGAAGCCAAACCAGCTTTTTATGTGGGTCCTTGGGAACCCCTCTCTGTGATGGGAAAAAGAGCTGGCAGCTGCTGAGCGGAGCAGAGCTATCCCAGGGGACACTCAGTGCTGGACAAAGGGCAGGGAGCAGCCCGGTCCCTCCTGGGCTTCCAGCACAGGCAGCCACCATGGAGCCCAGGCAGCACGGGATGAATTGAGTGAATCATCGACTGCAGCTGGTCAGATCAACCCCTTAAGCTCAGCTTCATTTTTACATCAAACATGCAGATATAAAAGTAACTAGGAGATATTTTAGGAAAAAAGTTTAGGAAAAAAGTTTTTTATAAACAGCTCCAAAAGAAAAGGCTTCAAGAAGATCTCCCCCTCCCAGAAGAGTCCCAAATTCAAGCCACACTCCTACCTTCAGGTCGCTGCTCTCTGCCTCCCGCAGCTTCTTCAGCCTGAAATCCCCCTCGCAAGGATTAAGCGCCGAGGGGGGGGCCACGCACGCACACTTGCAGCTGGGTCCTGACGTGATGGTTTCCACCGTGTAAAAATCCTCTGCTTTGAAAGCGCCTTCGTTAATCCTTTGGCAGGCGCCACGGCCCAGGGGTCTGACCAGGCATTTGCACCGACAGTCGGAGCCTTCAGAAACGGCCTTCACCTTGTCGTAGTCACCTAACAGCTGGGCACAGGTCACCGGCTGTTAGCAAACTTGGCATCCTCTGCTTGCCCAGCAAGGGACAAGGACACCCTGGACCTTGAGGGCCAAACAGGGACACTTCGGACACCCCGAACCTCGAGGAAACTGGGTAGCTCTTCCAAAATCTGCTAACCAAGAAGTTTTCTAGGGATTGCAGAACTTTCTGATCCCCACCTACGAAGGGGAATAAAACCTGCCTTTTTCCAACATATTTTTTATTCCACTCTGCATAAAATGGACCTGGCCTCTTTCAGTTTTAAATATGTAAATTTAAAATACAAACCCTATCCTGCAGTTTTTTAATGCTTCATGTCCAGTAGACCCAGTAAGTCACCTGCTACCCTGAGCATGATTTATTTGCATGGGCAAAGAGGGTAAGGGTACACTCGAAGGGTGACTGAAAGTCACCCTATAAACAGCATAACCTGGTGGCGAAACAGTATTTCTGATTAGCCCCATACAATGCCAGGAATTTCCTTTACGAAGGTTTGCAGACAGCACTTCTGAAAGCCCAAGCACAAAAATAACTTTGACGGTATGTTTCCAATAGTATCCACATTAGCCATTTCCGAGGGCAGATAATAGCACACAGTCTTGATCAGCCAACTCTCACAGAAACCTCCACCGCATCCCACTGGCAGGGAAAGAGCCTGGATCTCTCCCCTCTGCACACAAAGAGGCTCCACCAATTCCTCTCCCCAGACACTCCCCGTTTTCTGAGTCCCCCCAGGGAAAGGCCAGGATGGAAGTTGAGAGCTGCTCCCCGCCGGGCTTCAGTGCACCCCGGCCGATAAACCTCCCTGTGCTGCACTCGCTGTGCGTGCACAGCATCACCCAGCACCACCAAGCATGTACACCTAGCACTCCTCGAGGCGCCCAGCATCCCCCCCAGCACTGCCCAGCACCCCCCGAGGCGCCCAGCACCCCCCCAGCACTGCCCAGCACCCCCCGAGGCGCCCAGCA